GGGACATGTGATTATAATAGGTAAAGATAATCATATTTGCGCAACTTAACGCTGTATAAGTATGAGATGGGCGACATTTAGTAAATCGCAACATTTTCTGATTGGGACCTTGAACTTTGAGAAAAAGTTCTACATGCAATGCATATTGCCAGTAATCACATACGTCTGGGAAACGCTTAAGTTCCTAAAAAGTCCCCAGATAAGTTGAGAGTAAATCAAAGAAAAATGGAACGAGCAATTCTCGAACCTACAAGAAGACACAAATTACCAAACAGCTAGTGAGACAGAGAACTAAAATAACAGATGTCATACAAAAATTACTCAAGGCAAATGGAGATGGCTGGTTATATAGTGCGCTTGAGCAACAATAGGTGGACCAAATGATTGATAGAATGGAGAAAATAAGTGAAATCAGGGTCGACTTACAACAAGATGGGAAGACGACCTGGGAAAAACAGCGGGGAACTGGAAGCAGAGGGCACAAAACAGAATGCTGTGGAAGGTAATGGAGGAGACCTATGTCCAACAGAGGATGCAAGACGTTGGCGGATGATGATGATGATTCACCATTTTCAATTTGCATTTCAATTCATGCCTATGCCTATATCTTTTTATTTATTTATTTTTATACGCTATAACGTCACCATCGACTTTTGGTTTGGAAACCTTTTTAGAAGACGCCAACCTTTCAAAATTTTGCACAGTTGTGTTATAAGTTACGGAAATCTAGAGAATAGAAAAGTCTCGTATTGAAAGAGGACTTTCCTGCCGATGTGCCCGGAACCGATCGTCGTTAATTTTAAACCGAACATCGCGTCGCTTTATGCGCAGTAATAACCGTTTAACGCGGCGTAAATATAAAAGCCCGGGCCGACGATTATAAATCGCGGATTCCCATCATTTAACCGAAAAACGTGTTTAATATGGCAGCGACACCGCATTTAACAATTATACCGGGAAATTTACAGTGGTCTCGTCTCGCGCGGAGCCTATTAATTTCCCAACAATTATTTCCAGATGCGCGCGGAACCAAGAAAAATACTTTAGTCCCGAATTCCTGCGACGGGTATTTTTCGGGGACGCCGAAACGGCACATTCGTACGTCAAACGTCTCCACCCTGTCCCTGTTGCTTTCGCTTGTTTTCATATGGTTGGCACGTGCTATCGCGCGGACGCGTGTTAATTGCCCCGAGGTTTCGATGCGGTTTTAGCAAGACACCGAAAAGGAAAGAGTTTAACTTGATACCGATCGCTGACGTAGTAGTACGTTATTTTTTATTCGCAATACATTGATTATTTGTTATTTCAGGTCGTTTATTTAGCGGTTATTAAAGAAATATAATTTAATTGAATATTTAAACCGCTTTATAATGGAAAACGGCGATCTTCAATGGAATAATATTTGTAATGAGACAAATCTATAACATGCTGACATATTATCCGGGGGTGAAAATGCTACGGATGAAAGTGATGGTCAGATTTTCCAATTAACTTCAAAAGAAAAATAGAAAACTTTTACTTACTGCAACTGATTCTGGGACCAGCGGTTCCGAGGATACGTAGTTTGAGAACGAAATAGCATCACGCGGTGGTCAGTAAATAATGGAGATATAATTTATCAGTCATCAGTAATAGCTTAATTTTGAAATAAGTTTGAAATAGCTTAAAAACAAAACCTTTCAAAGGAAGAGGCAATCATATTCTACCGAAACCCACTAAGTTTCTTCTAGACTACAATCTAGGAACTATGACCGACTATGGTACGTTTGTCAGAATGTTGGCCGAACCTAATAAAAGTGATAGAAACCGGTAAAATAAATTGAAAGACTGATGAATTGATAAGAAAAACAAAGAGTACTGTGGATTACAATATACACAATGTGGTAGTAATTCTTCAAATGGACATTTTGGTACACAAGGAACCGAATCCGACAAAGGAAATGAAATTACCTTTTCCCATTGTTCAACTGATACTGTTTGTTCAGTAGTTACAGTTACAGAGCCTCTAAAGGTGCCTTTCTGGAGATACACCCACGTGCTTATGGAAATTCATAGTTCAGGGCAAAAGGTTTCCTCAGGAACGTTGCAAAGTCTGCAAGAATCACGGCAATAGGGAATGCAAAAACTTCATAAAAACGATGCGAATGCCAGATTGTACACTATTAGTGATTAACCTGTATTGCTATCAACCTCTAAATGTCAATAAGGTTAGATAAAGTCAGTAAAAAAATTATATATTTAGTATAAACGGCACCTGGCCCAAAATATTTACTGCTTTTGAGTGTTCCAGTTGCAGTGAATGAAAAGGATTGTAAGGGAACTTTACAGAAAGTATTTGAGGACATGTTAACAATCATGAAATGGAAGATCATTTTGTAGGCTATGGAAGTCATTAAAATATCTTGTAAAAAAAGTTTATTGAAATTATCTTGAATACTTCCTTTCTTAAGAAAGAGAAAAAAAAAAGTTAAGTCCTCTCTTTAATTACCGCTCCAGTTCCAACAAAATTAGTTATGTACTTTCTAAGTGGTCCTTAACGATTTCTACAAGAATTTACTCCCGTCCAAATCGAGATTCTATACCGATGATATATTAAGGATCATTACTATGAGCGAAGTGTTCGTATTTGCGTCATATTTCCTTTTGACTGGCTACACACGCTACCTACCAAAATCCTGGACCTACCGCATCGACGCAAACCTTTTCCTGTCTCTAGGAAACGTACTAAATATATTTCGGTTTTATTCTTAGAGCCATTTTATGCCCGTAATGCAGTTATGATTTATGCGCACAATTTCAGCGAAGTCGAATGTTGTGCTTTTCGATTTGTCCCGTTGTGATTTCCGTCTTGATTGGCTTAAAATGTTCTTCTACGGTACATAGAAGCGAGGACTGAGGTTCACTATTCAAAGTTAAAAATGGTTTGTTAGTAGCCTTAGATAACAATCTAAGTTTAAACCTTGCTGTATAGGTCCCATCGCTTGTTAATCTGGGGAATGACAACGGACTAATCTAGAGTCTTTGTTAGACACGAACAACCATTAGAATAATTAATAGTCTAAAGCCCCTGTAGGACCTTTCAACATCCTCAAGTACTAACGTTGCTTCTATTCAAAAGTATATACCTCAATAACGGAATTTACAACTTTCAGCAGCAAAAGTTACTGCAAATATGTATTTGACCAGATACGGTGAGCATCTCGCTTCAAAAGAGCTACATTAGAAACACCAGAAAGGTTTACAATTCATTTTCCTCGACGTAGGGACTTTCCCCTAGGTATTATTTAATAGAAAAAAAAGGGTTTATTGGATTTGGCTCCTTACCCAAAAGTCAGTATTTCACTAATGTACTAAAATACTAATCTTGACGATTTTTATGTTTGCAAAAAAAGAGAACAAAGTGTATATATTTATTATTATTGAGCAGTCAATACTCGCATAGATCGTGGGTCAGATTATATATTTTTACCGGGTTATCCAGTTATATATGAATATGATAAAAACACAAAAATATTACACAAATTATACAATACTAAAAAAAAAGTCTAAAAAATCAAAATTGGAACACAATATATCAAGAAATGAAGTACAACAAATAAGCCAATTTTTTTTAAATATATTTTACTACTGCTGTAGCTGAAAACAGAACAAAAAAATAAATAGTAATTCCAAAAAGAGAAAACCACGAATGAAGAAAAACTGTTTTTTCTTCTTCTTTATGTCATTTTCGTGTAATAAACGCGGTTTACTAAATTTTAACGCTAGCTATACAAACAATAAACAATGAAAACCATTCAATAAAGTTGACAAAAAAATGAAGTACTTAGGAATAACAATGCGTACACAGTTCTAATGGAATAAACATTTACAAACAGTAATAAAGAACCCAAATCCACTGATTTACAAATGAAAATTTCCTAAAAACATTTTAAATAAACAGCAAATACTGACACTTTATTATGCATTAGTGCACCTTTACAATATGGTATTTTGTGATGGGCAGGAGTACTATATGTACGTTTCAAAAAGTTGGAAATTATGCAAAAATATTTCCTAAAAATAGTTTTCCAAAAAACTAGAAATTATTCTTCTGTACAACTGTTTAGAGGGTCGAAAGGTTTCACGGGAAGGCAGTTATTTTTTTACTACGGTTTTAAATATTTTCAAAAGCAAAACCGAACTACAAAATATAACTCATAGAGAAAAGGGAAATGTGATAACAAATAAATGTAAAAAACAAATAGGCCAAAGGTCTTACGCATTTTTGCAGGGTCATTTTTATAATTTCCTAGATGATCTAAGGCAAAGATTCATAATTTTAACATCATTTTAAAAATCATCTCAAAAAATTTATTCTGTCTGTAAGCATCGAAGAAATAAACATCTTCATAAATATGAATGCATAAAGAATAAAAAGTTAACGAAATATTATATTTATTTACATCAAGATCTCGAGGCTGCTCATCGCGGTCTAAAGAGTGTATTTTAGTTATTATTTATTAGTTATTATTATCCAAACTTAGTGATTATGTTTTTGAAGATGGATAACTAAATGTTATGAGTCTAGTGACTGGGGTGCTCCAAGACTCTATTATTGGTCGTCACCTTAACTGAATAGTTAAGTTCCAAAGAAGCCAACCGACGAAAGAAGAATCCAGGAGATTTATAAATACTATATTAATATATTATTAATATGTATCTAAATCACTCAATTAGCTATTAAACTAGCTTTTCCTGGAGTTCTTTTTACTTTTACCTATTATTTTTATATTGTTATAAATTATTAACAAAGCAATAAGTTAGAATTAATCTGACTTACTCAAACTCCATTTTTCCTTTACGCCAACATTCGACACAAAAAACCTTTGCAACAACTTTTGCTTTTACTTTTGTATTTTTTTTTTGCCGCCCACACACGCGTGAACGCAAAAAGACCTCTTAAATGTATGCTAAACACGTTTGGTTTACGCCATTGTTAACGCCGTTTCCCTTTGTTGCAGGATGAAGTCATAACTGCGTTCCGACATAAGGCATCCGAAAAGGCAAAAGGAAGATGAAAGAATTCTTGGCGATCCTTTGTCTAACCTTCGTCGGCGCAGCGCGAAGCGTCGAGCCCTGTAAGTCCTTATTTTACAAAGAGAAAAAGCGGCGTTCCCGGAAATTTACATACGCTCTCCCTTTTACCTCGGATTCCTATCCCTTATTTACATTTTGCGTTTATTAGTGCCCGTTAATTATATCCCTCTTTCTTTTCGCAGCCCAATGCATAGCGCCGTTGGGAATGGAAAGTTTGGCGATCAAGGACGAGGACATCACCGCCAGTTCGTCCTTTGATCACGGCAACGTGGGACCTCATCATGGAAGGTAAGGGATGCATGTCGTTTCTAAATATGATGCTACCCTACATTAATACATTTTAATCTATTATGGTTTTCACCTTCTCTTAGTAAACTTTTATACTCCATTGAGAAGTTCCGGTACTCTCATTAATCTACCTGTTAACTCTCACGATATGGTTGTGACTTCTTAGCTCTGGATATTGCACAATGGTCAATTCAACCTGGAGTTGTAAGCCTTCTTGGAGACAGTCATAACTTGCTCGGCTGTTTATAACCAAGAAACTAATACACTGCGATATTAATTTCACGTCATATCCATCTTCCAAAGCATCTCAGGATTTTTACTTTAAAAGATGGCAAAATAAATCCCTATATCTCATTGCGGAGGCATTATACGGAGTTCGTATGAACAAGCGCTAGCATTAGCATGTTTAAGTAAAAGCATAATTTTGTCTGAAAGTCAGCACGGTTTCAGAACAGGTAGATCAACCCAAACAGCGATCCATTCATTTTTGGAGCATACTATCAACTATATTGAGTCTGGAGAGCACCCTGCTGGGATATTTTGTGATCTTAGTAGGGCGTTTGACTGTATGAAAAACGAAATTCTTTTGAATAGGATGGAACGATAGGGAATTCGTGGAATAGCTCTGAACTGGTTCAGATAGCTCTTAACAAATCGTAGGCAGTATGTTGAAATAAGGCAGGAGAGGGGCAGCTTGTATCAAATTAAAAAATCTCAAGTGAAATCTGTAGATAGAGGCGTACCGCAAGGTACAGTGCTTGGCCCTGTTTTATTTATCCTTCTTATCGATGAACTTTCTGCTCAACTACCTAGTTTGGGTCTATCAGAGTTCACTGACGACTGTTCAAGTTTAGTCTCCAAACACTGTTATCAAACTCTTCAAGACAGAATTAGTTTAGCACTTGTACTACTAAATAGCTGGTTTAACACCAAGGAACTTTTTTTGAATGTCCGAAAAACAAGAGTACTGATATTCAAATTCCCACAAAACAAAAAAGATCTTTCTGTGAATGTCTGGTCGGGCGGGGAGGCCGTTAAAATAAATTTTTAGTACTAGAGCTCGACGAAACTCTATCTTGGGAAACTCAATGCCAATTATTTTCTTCAAAGCAGCATAGTTATTGTTTCCTAATAAAAAATTTAAAAATTGCTTTGACCGGAAAGTGCATGATAAATTTCTACTATGCTCACATCTATTCGAGATTAGTCTATGGGATTCCCTTTTGGGGAAATTCAAGGTGAATTGCTGGTTTAGCGTGTATATAGATATTAGAAGTTTGTTTGTGGATTTATAAAAATAAAAATACCTTACAAAAAAACGAAGATTTCCACTACTATAATACACGTAACAAAGACTGTTTCTCCATGAAAAAAAATGTATTTGACGAACACCGGTATTAGAGTCTACAATAGAACAATAGAACAGAACTAAAGAGCAGTAGTAATGTAGACATTTTTAAATGCAAACTAAAGTTTTTCCTCCTAAAAAACTGTTATTGTAATTTAAGCGAATATTTTACCTATTATTGTTTGTCATCACTCTATTTCATTTGCATGATCTATATTGACCTACTTGGCGAAATCCGTAATACATTGATTTTATTCTAAATATGTGGGATAATAAAGATATTATTATTATTATTATCCAATCCTTTTAGAGTCATGGTGTAAGATGGGAACACAGTCTCTCTTTTGGTACGAATAAAAATTATTTTTCCTGATGCAAGTTTTAACCTCCAGGACATGCCATGGCTTCCAATTTCACCTTGAAAGAAGGAGCTGTTTCGGCAACCTTCATAAGCTTTTCGAAGTGATCCAGAGCACTTACGTTGGTGTTTGTGACCAAATCTGGAACCACTATTACCATTTTTTTTTAGACTGCTGGTTAGATCAAATAAATAATAATATTCTTAAAGGTTATAACTCTTGGACATAAGAGCCGTAAGGATTTACGGCCATCCATAAAACAGAGTTCGAATTTTCGATTTTCCGTCGGAAATATTTCATAAACCACGCCCTGTGCACGGCACGATCAGTTTACAACATTATATCCAACTATCCTGCATTTATTTCGCAATTGCCGGTATAAAATATCGGTCGTAAAATGCATGTGTTTAAAAGTTAACTTAATAAATTGTTTTAACTTGGGTTTACGGCCACCCCAACGCTGTTACGTTTACGATTATTTCGGCCTCGTCAGTCGTCACATCAAGATGTGTTACGTTTTATGAAACGGTTATATTGGCTTTTTATTTTTGATTTATTCCCCCGACGTAGTCGAGGTATAAAATACGCGCATTTCAATCGGACTACAGAAGTTATAGACACAACGAACTCATAATTTACTTCTCGAACTTTTATGGCATCAGATTTATATCCGATATTCCTGCGATGATCTTCGATGTCGTAAATTCTAGCCTGGAAATAGTAGAACGCGGTAGGATATACCGACTGTCGTTTTCTATTGGCTAATCCGAACATGTCGAGAATTTATTATTGGTATTAAGAGCTTCCAGGACTTTGCTACAATGTTTAGGTCATTTATGTGCTCAAATCAGCAGTCTGAAATGATAGACAGTGGTGGTTTATATTTAACGATGGAACTGATTCACAATACAACTTGGGGTCAAACTCTCTACCAAATCTTAATAAGATCCGACCTCACTAATATACTGTGGACGGTTTAGATTTCACTATAAAGACTAAACTGCGCAGGAGAAGTCCAACCAATCCTGGAAAGGTTTTTGGAAAAGAATTGACTAAAGCAATTGACGCAATACCAAAAAGAGAGATAATTATCATATTAGGTGACTTTCATCCACGAGTAGCCAACGCAATAATACCAGGTAAACTTAATAAATAAATAACACCTTTTAGACACAAAGAACAACATAAATATGATAAAAATAGGGTAATACATTATACGCAAATACTAGATATAAGATACTTATATTCTGCCAACGTAGGGAGTGGCCACAATTTTGTTTTAGGTAAAAAAAGAATGAAAATAAACAAATATCAAAAACTAATATAAAAGTTTGGGGAACAAATATTAAACTAGAAAAACCACAGGATGAATCAATAAAGAATCTCTATCAAATAAGATTGGAAAACATAATAAACGAAAACTCAGTAATAGGAAAAGAAGATATAGAAAATAGCTGGAGAGAGATTTGAGAAAATATCAAAAACGCGCTTGGGGAACGTAAAACCGTCAGAACATCAAAAAGAATAAAAACTACACCTTGGTTTTGTGACGAAGTAAAACTGAAATGTGAACAGAAATCAAGAGCCTATCTCAAATATAAGCCTACAAAAACAGGAGAAGATTATGAAGAATATAAAAGAATTCGCGATGAAACAAACTCACTGGCAAGGAAAAACAAAACAGAAGATTGAGAAAAATTCTCAAAAGATATGGAACACGACTTTTAAGGTTTGCAGAAGGAGATCTAGACAATGATACGTGAACAGCGACAAGAAATGAAAGAACTGATAGAAGTAAAGTATATCGAAAAAGAGACATGGACAAATCACTAGAAATAAATAGTAAAGAAGCACTTAAGTAAAAAATCGAAGATCGGCTGGCAAAGATGGAATACAGAATGAGTTATTGAAGTACGGAGGTCCCAAGCCAATTACAGAACTAATAGGGTTTATAAACAAGTTAATAACTATCGAGGAATGAACCTCCTATGCACAACTTCGAAACTGACAACAAAAATTATTACCAACAAAATAACTCCACTTGTAAAACTCTCTGAAGAACAACAAGGTTTAAGAAGTGAAAGATCTTGTAATGACGCGGTATTTGTAATTAGACAAAATATAGAAAAATCAATTGAGCACAATAGGCCAGTGTTCTTATGCTTCATAGACTTAAAAAAAGCATTTGATAGAGTGCAGCTGCAGGACGTTTATAACAGAAATATCCCATTTGATATAATCGAAAATATGTACAAAAGAAATCAAATAGAAGCAAGAGTAAATTTAGAGCTAACGGAGCCTATGGATGTAACTACAGGTATTAGGCAAGGAGACTCACCAAGCCCCTCATTATTTAACATTATATTAGTCGAAATAATTAGAGTACTAAAAACAAAAAAAGGCTATAAAAATGGTAATAAAGAGATGCGAGTGTTGTGTTACTCCGACGATACTGAAATGAAGATGATTTGCAGTTATTACTACTATAAATGCAAAGAAAAAAACTAAATTACTAGTAATCTCTAAAGAACCAATTAGATGTAACCTGGAACTTCAAAACCAAATTATAAAGTAGGTAATGAACATCAAATATTTAGGAATTAGATGATCGTCTGATAATCACATAGAGGATGAAAGAAGAGAAGAAATTGCAAAAGCCAATAGAGTAGCAGGATGCCTAAACAACATTACATGGAAAAATAAATACTTAAGAAACGAAACAAAATTCCGCATATATAAATCTGTAGTTCGACCATACCGCTGCAACAAGACCGGAAACATCTAAGACTCAGAAATGCCTGGAAACAAATGGAAATAGCAGGGAACACACTCTGGGATAAAAAAATAAATGAAAACATAAGACACATATGTGGTATTGAGAACGTTAACACCTGGATAAGAAATAAAAAGCAATGATCGAATCAAGAATAGAATGTCTGAACAACGGATAGGGAGGATATCAAGAGATGAATCGCCTGCTGGTCGGAGGAATATAGGACGCCCACGAAAAAGATGGAACAAAAACTTGTGATAAAAATTACATTAAACTACAACAGGTCAAAGTACCTAATATAGAAGAAGAAGAGAAGAAGCCGAACATTCACAGTCATCCTATTCCCAGTTTAAATCAGCAGACAAGAACATTATACAAATGACATTAATCTTAGAAACAGACAAACAAGAATCAGATAACACGTTGTTTTTGTTATACCACTACTCAAAAAGGATTGCACTTCTAAGCGGTGGTTATAAACTCCAAATAACGAGTGCTTGCTTCTAAAAATTTTTGAATATTCCCATCTATGTGATATGGAATTTTCATAGAACTAAATGAATGAACTTACATAATATTATTAATAATCTGATATAACATATTGTCCTCGATCTAGATCACGACTGACATTATCGCCTCATAGATACCATCAAGACATGGATATGACGCCAGTTTAATATTAGTGTGTTTTGGGTCTAGAGGTTGCATGTGCTTTTCTTGTATCTTGGTCATTTGGTGTCGTAGAAATTCATAACCATATTCACTAGAGTGACATAGGATGGCAACTGATTTATTTTGCACCACTTTTCTCAACCAAGTTGTGAGTGCCTCCATGAAGATAAGCTCAGAATTGCCGCTTTAACTTACCTGTACTAACGCCAATGAGAGAATTAATAATGAACTGACCAAGGACGCTAGTAGGAGCTTTGATAGAAATCTGGTATCTAACAAGGCATCCCCATATCTTGCCACAGCACATTTAGGATGTATTTATAGGAATAGAAAACTCCAATTTATCTTATAGGTAGCATACCATTAGAAGGAAGGAGATTAAAAGTGTTGGGAGATCAACTTATTGCACCTGAAGAATTATCGTAACTTCTGAAGAGAGCTTTTTGAAGAGATAAGGTATAAAGGGCTAAAATTGAATGCAGTCATAGCTAAAAGAAAGATAAGGACGTATCGTAGTCAGAAGGTTTTTCTTCTTTTCATACTATTGGTTGATTCGTTGAGGACCATAGAGCTTCACCTAAAGATGTCTTCGCGGACAGACTGTATTTACGCAATCCGTTCGATTTTTTTCTCAAGTCTGCGAACTTCCAATAAGTTTGTTACTTTGGAATAAACTTTTAATGCGCAAACTTACGAGGAGCGTATTTCTAAAGGGGTTTTATTAACTCTAACTAGGCAAGCTGTCGCGGAATACTTGCTTTATATGCAGAACGCCTTGGGGATTTTTACTATCTAATGCGAAATTTTAAAGAGTCGTAATTTTTGACGATTATTTTGCTCGTAAAAGTTTTAAAAGGCCGAGAGAACGGACGATGTAAAAAAATTATCTGGCGACCTCGTTTTCGTAGTCGTTCGGTTTCGCGCACGCACCAACTGGCCTTGCCGGCAGTATCAGTGTTTTCATCTCTTGAATGAAGAGCGCCGATGTCTGATGAATAATACAAATAACTTTCGGATGTGTTGTTATTTATGAATGACATGAAATCGTTTAGAAAATTGATTATTATAATTATCATTACTGTGCCTTTTAACAATTGGTCCATTTTTCCAGAGTGCGCAACGAAATCAACGGCGGGGCGTGGTGCCCCCAAACCATGGCGACGCCCGATTCCAAAGAGTGGCTCGAGATAAACCTCCACACGGTTCATATGATCACCTCTACGGAGACCCAAGGAAGATTCGGTAACGGCAACGGCGTAGAATTCGCCGAGAGCTACATGTTGGAGTACTGGAGGCCCAGATTCAACAAGTGGGTACGTTATAGGAGCAAGACGAACGGAGAACTCCTCAAAGGGAACATCAACACGTATCTCGAGTACAAGACGCAGTTGGACCCACCGATATGGGCCAGCAAAATACGCTTCATACCGTATAGTAGCCACAAACGGACCGTGTGCATGAGAGTCGAGTTGTATGGGTGCAGATGGTCGGACGGTATCGTGAGCTATTCCATGCCTCAGGGTGACAAGCGAGGCAACTGGGAGTTTTACGATTTGGCGTACGACGGACATTGGGACGGAGAGAAACTCAAGTACGGGCTCGGTCAGCTGACCGACGGCCAGATCGGACCCGAAGACTTCAAGCTCGCGTTCCACCAAGAGAACTCCCAGGGCTGGGTGGGTTGGAAGAACGACTCGCGCGAAGGCAAACCAATAGAAATCATCTTCGAGTTCGACAAGATTCGCGAGTTTAGTGCCGTGCACATCTACACGAACAATCAGTTCACCAGGGAGGTGCAGGTATTCGCCGAAGCAAAAGTCATGTTCAGTGTCGGCGGTAAACGCTACAAGGGCGAACCCATCACGTTCGATTACATGGAGGACTGTATCTTCGAGACGCCGCGCAACGTTTCGATCAAGCTTCACCATCGCGTCGGTAGGTTTGTGAAACTGCAAATGCACTTCGCCGCCAGATGGATTCTGCTCAGCGAGGTTACGTTCGACTCCCTCCCGGTCAGCGGAAATTTCACCGAAGAGGAGGAGATTGAGGAGCCGGTGTTCCAAAAGGACCAAGTGCCCTTAGGGACCGATAATAAAAACGTAATCAGTGCCGTGAACCCCTCGGGTGGCATGGGACAGTACTTGGGTATTATAGTTGGTGTCCTCGCCGTGCTCGTGGTGTTCATGATAGCTATCGTTCTCTACATCGTAATCCAGCAACGGCGGTACAAATCATCTCCGCGACCCTCTCAAGTTCCTGGCGGCTGCGACAAAGCTGCCCTCTATAGAGAACCCAGCCTGGGACGGCTAACGAGTTCGTCCGATTACGCTGACGTCAGAGACCCCGAGTACGCGGTACCCCTGCAACCGCCGCAGACCCCGAGGACCCCTCCGACGCTGCAGAACTTTTTCCCGAAGCCGCCGTCAGTGCCGCCCCCTCCGGAGAAGTACTACGCGGCTACGGAGATTTGCGGCGGCGGTTTCGTGCCGCCGCCTCCGCCGCTGAGCACTCCCCCGCCGGTCAGGCTGGGCAGACAGCCGAGGTACGTGGCCAACGCTAGGACGTACGTCGGACCTTAATTCTGTGATATCGAGCTGTAAGACGAGGACGGATTTGGTCAATAAAATTTTGGGTGAGTTCAGTTTTGTTTGGGGTGTACAGGGTGTACATCGGTTTTTTATACGTAAAAGGCATAAAATATTTGAAGCATAGTGATTCCATACGAGCTTATAGGATAGAAACAAATAGATGCTAGTTTTCGAGTTCAGGATAATCTTCAAATGTAAGCGCAGCTGAAATATTTTCTGTTGCCTTAATTTGACATGAAATGAAAAAATATCCTGTAAAGAGAAGAAACGCAATTATGGAAAGTGTGTTGTTAACGTTGGTCATTTTCATTTTGTTAAAAAAATAATGGCGCCAGAAAAAGATTATTTTTTTTTTTAGCAATTTAGCAAAATTCGCATTAAAAAATTACAATATAAATTACGCAGTTAAATAGATTCCTTGGCTGTAACCAAACCATCAACGGGTGCCAATAGCGGCTACTGAATTTAGTGTGGATTGTGGCGCATTAGAAAGTGTTGGAAAAGAGAATGTATTCGTGTTGTTTGGCAAAAATGTACCCAAAAACTAACTTAAACTAAGTTTAACAAACTACGTTTGGTAAACTTTTTAAGATAAACTTCATTGGATTTTGACTATCACTAAAAAGTTACGGAATGTTAGGCTAGAGCGTTTTGTAGGAGCATGGAATCTAGCTTTCGTCTTGTTTTGCTAATCAGAATTGATTTTTTTTTCTATTTTTCTTGTATTTCGTAGTAGTACATTAGGTAGGCAGATTTATGAACGACACTTTACTTGCGAGTGTTGTTTTGGCAAAACGCAACGGACAAGATGTCGATGTGTTGCATACTATACTTTTTCCACGATTTTGGGTGCAAAACAACACGAAAGGTGTTCACGGATTTGATATTAAACTTGTTTTTCTCGTTCCTCCCCACCTCACATCTCATATAACTTTCCTTATTAATAAATGTATTGTTTTATCAATCAATTATGGAAGAAGTCTTAAGTTATCCCAGTAGCTAAGGTTCCCTCTCTACATACTCTCTCTCACTTGCGGTGAATTAGCATATTGTGTTCTTTGTATTAGAGAGAGTCATAAATGAACAACTAAATGAGTACTTGAGTACCCACTCAATCAGGTTTTCGTTCCGGCGTTAGCACCGTTACGGCTCTTTCGTATGTCGGATGACTTGCTGAGGCAACAGAACATTGGCAAAAAATGGTACTCTTGGACTTCAGCGAGGCGTTGGATACTCTAAATCACATTGTACTTCTAAAAAAGCTTAAATTATTGATATAAATGTTGCATGTCTTATCAATATGCTGATGACATGCAGGTTTAGTATCCATTTTGTAAAGATAACGTAGGTGGTGTAAACCATTATATAAATTCAGACTTCTTTTTGGCCCTAACAGAGAGAATGTCTTATAATTTTAATATAGTTTCAAATAATGTTAGGTTAGTACCTATGGACATTTGTAAGAAGTTAAGAATTCTGATGGATGTGTGGCAACATTAATAAGAAATCAGTTTTTAAAATGAAAATGCCGCCATGTTTCAGAGATATTAAAATTTATAATGATGTCCCCGCTATTGTTAAAGTCTGTTCATCTGCTAAGTCGTTTATAAATAAGTTCAAAGATGTAATGTTAATGAGTCCTTTCACTAAGTATATAAATAATCAATCGAGTTTCTTTTTTTGATTATGTATTATTGTCAAATTATAATTCTTATAATGTTTTCTTAATGGTGGTTAGATGAGCACCTATGCTGGATCCTGCACTCAAGTGTCTTTACTTATTGTATATTGTATCCCTCAAGTAACAATAGACATTTTGAATTGAATTAAATACATCGAATTCGTTCGATTGAAAGTATAATATGCAACAACTGGATAATCTTCTTCAGATACTCGCTCCGCTGCACTCAGCTCGCGCTTAAAGAAACTCGTGACTAAAGTGTCATTTATGTGTTAAAGCGGAGACACTGTATCTAACTTGTACCGATATATACGCTCAACTACCATTGACATTACCAAAATTCAGAATAATTTCAATATCTGAATTTTTTATTGGGAAAATGCCTATTTTTACCCACTACATATCTCAGCACATATCCGTAACGGAATGTTAAATGGTACAATAACAATCTCGGTCTGGTTTACCAGCCGTAATAGCGTCTAATACCAGCATTATTTTCAATTAACGAAATCTGTTTTAAATTACACTTAACGTAAAGCTGCAGATAAGACTTAAAATAGGCCTCTCTCTGTGTACCGGAACAAACTGAGAAATGTGTATTGTGGCTATAAATCATCGGCCTGGCTGCCGGCTGACTGGCTGGTGTGGCGCTTTTAAAAATATTTCGTTGTAATCTAAAAATACTTTATGGCCCAACGAAATATATTGTCTTAAGATGGGAAATGGCTAAGCGCTCGCGTAATTTATAGAGTGCCGGTACAGATAACGCTCTGTCGCCGCAACGATCTCGATAATGTTTGTAAACAAATCGACCCCAGTTATTTAAAACAAAATTTTCCAGATTTATTGTGAAATTGAGTGGGACAATAATTTTAACATTCGATATGAGTCAGGGGAGCTTGTAGAGGTTCCACTTTAAAACTATGAATAACTAAGTTTAACATTAGATTTGCATCAAAAGATGGTGTGTTAATTATCTAAAGAGTATTCCAAACTCGTCAGCCAATTAATAGAGAATTAAAAGAGATATTGCTCAACTTTTGGTAGCGGCCATAGCAGACTTTGGTCTACGTTATAAAAACATTCCCAATGTTGCAGCGGTGCCAGATCTAACTAACAGTCGTAGGATTTTTGGAATTTTAAAAGCACACCCTTCGCAAAATTCCAAATTTGTTGCATCTACGATACGTTTTTAAAGTTATTAATTAATTTTTAAAAAAATGTCCCTAAACACGGTTTACAAGTTAGCAAGTTTTGCCTTGGTAAAATAAATCAAATGTTGCCACAGTTCAGAATGCTGAGCTAATAAAAATGAGATAGTTTAAGTTGCCATAAAACAGTTATATATTTACGCTTGCCACAGCGGCCATGCGGTTTATTATTTGTTTTTTAGCCAAAAATGCACATTCAAAGCATCGTTTCCAAAAAAGTTACTGGGATTTTTGACATCTTGAAAATGTGATATTTTGGATGTAGTTTATCAAGGGTGGATACATGTATTTTTTCTGCGTTGGGATTTTCCTCTTATGGTATGCATGGGAGTTTTGAAATGTGTCCAATGATGTGTGTGGTATATAGTGACCGCCAATTGACTACTTCTTAATTGACTAGTCAAATTCGATAAAAATGTTTTAAATCTTGCAATTGTAGAGTATTATCTATCATTATTTAATAATAGTATGTATGTTATAATAAATTATTATGCTATTGTAATATCCAATTTACCTATACCCAAATACGATAACATGAGACATTAAAATGACGGCTTATTGGTTGTATGGAATAGTGGGTCATGTAACATTTTATTTTTAAGGTCTTTTTATCCCTAATTCAAATCTTGGTTTTGATGAACTTCGATGTTTCGTTTTAATTTAGTTTAACTAGTTTTGTATTTTTTCTTATCCAAACCTATTGTAACTAACAACTAAATCACGTTGCAGAACTTATAAATAAAATAAACCAAAAAATAAATTAATGCTAATAATAGTAATACTAAAAGTCTCGCACAAAAGTCACATGTGCCAGTACTCCATAAAATAAATAAAGAATTGTCTCATACAAATTTTATGGCAAAATGATGAATTTAAAAAATCACTGAAAGTTTTCTGATTCTAAACGCTATATATTTTGTAAACTATTTTATTAGTCAATTATTAGAAATAGTTACCACTCTGAGGTAAAAGAAAATTTTAGTAATAGTATAGATGGCGCTGGAGTAGAAGGTATCGGTGTGCTGTGTGTCCTCAAATTTTCTTGATTTATACTGAAAAAATTTAATTTCGCTACTAAATCAGTGTTGCTTTCTTCTGAAGCACTGTGGTGGAAGTTGCTTTGTCATTTCTATCTTGAGGGCATAAGTGTTTTGTTTACCGTGCGGTTGCTGTACACCTAACCTATACAATGGTACTGTTAAGGAATGATATTGAGGATATTCGGAAGATTGTTGCGGATCAAATTACCGCTACAATTCTTGGTGACGATTTTCAAGACCGACTTATTGGCTCTCTTCTTGCCAAACTCGAAGAAAAAATTATGTCAAAAATAGAGAGGGTTGAGAGCGAAGTGTCCAATTTGCGCAAAGAGGTGAATAGGATGGCGCAGGAAAATAAGGATTTAAAACAACAGCTTGATCAGCAGGAACAACATAGCCGCAATCAGAATATTCGTCTATTCGGTGTCCATTTCGAAAAGGATGAGAATATTTTGAACACCGTAAAGAAAGTATTTCAACAAAAGATGAACATTACTATTGACAACAATGATATAAAAAACTGCTATAGAGTAGGAGCAAAAAATCCGATAGTAAACAAGCAGCCGGCTATTTTAATTTAGTTCCATAGTGCTGACGCTCGTGCAATGGTGTTAAAACATCGTAAAGCACTTAAAAACTCTGGCATCGTAGTTAAGGAGGCCCTTACCCAATCACGGTTGCACCTATTTAAAGTGGCGGTTAAAAAATTTTCCGAAAAAAGCGTGTGGTGTCTTAACGGCAATATTTACATTAAATGCTGTGGTGAGGTGTATCGTGTTCAGGATGAGGACGACATATACCAAATCACCGACCAAATCAAGGAATAACTGTATGTAGCTACGTTTCACCTCACTTCACAGCTATTTTTTTTCTTTCCAACATTACAGAAATTAATTGTGAATCAAATTATAATAGCTTGCTTTTTTTTTCTTCGTTATTAATCTTAGTGATAAGCAGTGTTAACCTCACATTTCTCAGCTTGTTGTAAATACTTTAAAACCATGAGATTAGTCAATTATAATATACTTTTCGAAGAATAGTTTTATATCTTGTAATTTAGGTATGTCACATATGCCACATGTACGATACAGGCTTTTTTCAGTATTTATATGTTTCTGTGTAATACACGAACTTCAAATTAACTTTAAGTTACATGCAGCACCAACTTTATTGGTTTTAGTACCCTCGTACTTTCCACTGCTTGTTTGAATTTGATAACTATTTCCTTCCTTCCTAACCTTCCCTCCTTTAGTTCTCAATGGATCTTAATTTTTGTGCCGCACATCTTAATGTAAGGTCCTTGCTGACCAATTTTGACTCTTTTCTAAGCCAATTATTGAGTAACAATTATGATATCGTTGGTGTATCTGAATCGGGGCTGGGTGCGGGGGTTGATCAGATGGTAGGCATTCCGAATTATAATTTTCTGCATCACAATCGTCTGGACAGGCGCGGAAGCGGTGTGGGAGTGTACGTTAAAAATAATTTAAGGTGTGAAGTTTTGGCCTATGCTTGTCTTGAGCATATTGAATACATACGGGTTAAAGTACTGTTAAATAATCGAACCTTTATGGTGGGTACTGTTTACAGGCCACCTAATACTAACGTATCACAATTTTTTAATACCCTTGAGGAATCCTTGTTTAATATATAGTCGGACTATAATAACTTAATATGCTTTGGTGACTTCAATATCAATATGCTTAATTTAAATACTGATCTTGGAACTAGATTAATTTCTGTGTTTTCTACTTTCAATATGGACCAATATATACAAGAACCTATCCGCATTGCATTACATTCTATGTCGCTCTTAGATTTAATATTTACCAACGTAAAAAAAGGTGTCTGATGTAGGAGTTGTCGACAATAACATCGCTGATCACTTTTTGACATACACAAAATTCAGTCTAGACTTGCCAGATAATGAACCTGTAAGTTTTTATTATAGATCATTAAAAACCATTAATCTTCAGGAGTTTAAGAGGGATCTACTAGATTTACCGTTAAATAACTTACTTTATTTTTGTGACATTCAAGAAAAGCTAAACCTCTTAAATAGTTGCACATTGGAACTATTTAATAAGCACGCGCCGTTAAAACGCTTTAGGAAGAATAAAAACTATAACTATGCGAGTTGGATAACAGAAAACATAAAACTGCTACAAAAGCTGAGAAATAAAGCGCTAAAAAATTTAACCTGACTAAACTTCCAGCACATTACGAGCATTACAAACAATTACGTAATTATACAAATTCGGCCAAAAAAGCTTATTTAAGAACTAAGTTTTGTCATGGTAATGCCAAAGAGAAATGGAACGAACTAAGGAAACTTAATGTTGTAAAATGTAACAGGGGTACTTTGCCAAGTCACTTAGATAATGTCGATCAAATTAATAACTTTTTTATAAACAGTGTGGAAAATAATGGTAGCCCCAATCAAGAACTGCTGAATTTTTATTATAATAATAGGTTAAATGACAGAACGGATCACTTTGACTTTGTATTGTCCACGGAAGATGAGATTCTCAACATTCTGAAAAATATAAAATCTAAAGCTGCGGGCCATGATGATATAAATATATCATTAATACTTCTTTGCTGTCCATATATTGCCCCATACATTACGCATATAATAAATGAGTGTATCTTAAATTCGTACTTTCTGTCAACATGGAAGCGGGCACAAGTCATCCCCTTACCGAAAATAAACAATCCAAGCGAATTTAGTCACCTGCGGTCAATTAGCATATTGCCTGTTCTATCTAAAGTACTTGAAAGAATTATGAACTATCAAATGGTAAACTTTTTAAATTCTAATCATATTCTACGAGAGAAACAGTCCGGTTTTAGACCCAATCACAGTTGTGAGAGTGCCATGCTGGACATTACTGATGACATTTTTAGAGCGACTGACGATGGAAAGATAACGGCTTTAATATTGTTGGATTTCAGTAAGGCATTTGATATGATAAATCATTCAATTCTCTTGGCCATTCTCCATTACGATGGTTTCTCCGAAGGTGCTCGAAAGTTTCTGTGTTCCTTTTTGTCAGGTCGGACACAACGGCTTGTCTACAATCAGCAGCAGTCATCGTTCCTAGGTGTTCGCATGGGTGTTCCACAGGGCAGCATTCTTAGTCCCTTGTTGTACACTATTTTTACTTTTAACTTCATTGGAGCCCTCCACCAATGCAACTGTCATTTTTATACGGATGACACTCAAATTTACTACTCATTTTTTCCTCCAGAAATAGCTACCGCGGAGGATGTCATCAATACTGATTTATCAAATTTTTTTAACGTTGCAACAGATCACCTCCTAAAGCTTAACCCTAATAAATCTTCAGTAATACTCTTTGGAAATGATAATCATTTAACCCATGCAAAGTATAACATAACAATTACACTTAATAACATAAAATTGCCACTCTCTGAGTCATGCAAAAGCTTGGGTCTTGATTCGCAGTTGCGTTTCAGAGAACATATTACTAATAAACTAAGGGTTGTCTATGCTAATTTAAAATTAATTTATGGCAATAGACATGTACTTTGTCAGGGAACTCGTAAGTTGCTGTGTGAATCACTTGTTCTGTCACAATTTAATCACTGCAGTGCTGTGTACGGACCGTGCCTGGATGCGTCCGATCGTTATCGTGTCCAGAAGGTTCAAAACTCTTGTCTAAGGCTAATTTATGGGGTAAGGAGGAGAGATAATATCTCCCCGTACCTTGTTGCGTCAGGGTGGCTTAATATGCACCTTCGATGCCAATTACGAATGAGTTCCCTTTATTTCAACATCCTTAAAACAAAATTACTTTTTATCTTTACAGAAAAATTACTCTTAACATATCAATACACAATTTGAATCTGCGTGGAAGACACCGACTAATTATACCCCGTCACCGCAAAGAATTATTTAAAAGATCATATTCCTATAATATAGCCATTTGCATTAACTCTATTACTAATTTTGATATTAATCAGTCCAACTCGACGTTTAGGAACAATTTCAAAAAGCAGTTGTTATTAAGCTCTTCTACAAAACATGTGCCCCTTTCCTTTCCTTTCCTTCCAACTCCATTTCTTCTCTTTTCTTTTCTTTAGAATTATGTGTATCTACGCTTGGCGCTTTCAAATAAATTCTATGAAATTTTTTATTATTATATTTTCGCTGTTAAATGGAAGCCTGAACAGTATCTAGAACTTCTAGATGGCTGCCCTAACAAGGCCTATTGTTGACCATTATTTCACTTATTTAACTTTGGTTATGTAATTATTTCTATGTAACTTTGATGGTTATAACAATAAACGGTAAACGGCATTAGTTAAAAAGTTTACCGAACGTGTTGCGTACTATACCGTTTCGACGACCGTTAGTTTTTGAGTACATTTTCGTAAAACAACACGAATACATTCACTAGCATGACCGTCAGAATTGACAAACGTCAAAATTCAAAGCGTGGGAAATATCCCCGAAAACATCCGATCGCTCCCAAATCCGTGCGGTAAAATCCCGGAAACGTCCGAAGTGGCTCGGATTAGTGGGAAACGAAGTTGACGTAGTAAAGTGATGCTTCCCGCACGCTACATCGGTGCGTAATTAGGCATTTTACAGACGGGAGTAGAAAAAAAATCACTAAAGGTCATGAAATTTACCGGCAATCCTGAATAAAGCAAATTTTTTTTGAAAATTCAATTTTCTTGGATTTTGACGATTGAAAAAATATTACGAAATTAATTTCTTAAACGTTTTTTTAGTAACCAAAATTTGCACTGTGTGTATTGTATCTGCTTCTACAATATTCTTTCTTTACTTTCAGCTCCGACAGGTGGCGCTGGCGACTTCGAAAGTAATCCCACTTTTCCCCTCACACAAGGCTGAAAACTACCAAATGCATATTCGCTTAATTTATTGTTTACTTTTGTAGGATACCGTTTTTTGTCATAACGCTCTGGCAATGCTTGAATTAAGACAATCCGTATTTGTTAATAAATGGTACCACGTAAGTATTAAGTGTATATATTCGTAATTTTCGTATTCAAATATTTTAAATTATATTGTTTTTACGGTTTTGTACATATCCATCGACAACTACGAGTATTGTATATAGCCTAGTGAATAAAAATATCATTAGTGTAAAATGAAGAAATAATATTTCGCCTTTCATTTTTTCTAAATCCTGCCCAATAATTTGCGTACAAAAATATAATAATTATCCCAAATTTCCTCTTAAATTCCACTGTCATGACATAAATAGTCCCTAATATAATGGACAATTATTTCAAAGACAGACTCTAGATCTGAAAATTTGAAAAAACAATTCCGTCTTGTGTGGATTATTTGAAACTTACCAAAGACGCATCGAGATACTGAGAAGAATTCTGGTGCCCGGCAATGTTTCACTAAAAAGACAGGTGCACATGTAAAAAAATGTGTTCAAAAACAGTTGCATCGGGAAAACTGTACGCCACTGGTGCTGGCAACAATTTGTGTCACTTCCCGAAACTAGATTAATTTTGCTTGGAAAGTGAACTACCAGCAGTCTAGTTAAAACTAATATACTCCACGATTAAACTCCAAAAACCTAGCGTAAGTTAAATATTCGAAGGAGAAACTTTTAAACTAATTTTTAAATTACCAGACTGTTTAAAAAATAAGGAAATACGTATACATTTAAACGATTTCCACACAATCATCTTGCTTTGCAAATGTAAATACGGCGAGGTCTTCGGTTTAAAACAAAAACGTAATGACCAGTAAATAGAAAACAAAAACACGAAAAGAAACGGTGAAAACCAATTCTCCTACACTGTCAATTAATGCAGTCATATGTCATATTTGGTGTCGGATTATCACATCCTCACAGGTCTTTATTACTTCTAGTTATTCAACACCTCTGCAATAGTGGTATTAGTGATCCTACAGTAAAGATTCGGCAGTATATTTTAATATTCTCAAAAATTCTACAACATTTTTTTTACACCCACAATCGCATTTAACGCAAAATCATAGCATATGGTTTTGCTTCTGGATGCGCACCCGAATAACAACGAATTAACAGAAAAATAAAAACGACACGACCGCAGTCAGACAACAAGCCCACTTAAGCGGCGATCTTGTATTTTAAATTGGACAATTACCCGTCTTGTAATGTTAGTCATGCACAAATCGTCTCCAAAATCTTTTGTATCTCCGGCATGCTTCACGTTTTAACAAGCGTTATAATTGGATTGACCTTCCCTCGGTCATAATAGGGAAACGAAGCAATTTTGGGTAGCTAATTGCTGGCTGTAGTGTTTTTTGGATTTAAATTTGCGGCACGCCTGGAGCTTCATACGCCCACGCGAAACTTGGAAGTAATTGATCAGGTACGTATGTTCGATGGGGTTAGGCATATTTAATTTTTATGTTAAGTGCAACGCATTTACCAAAATGACAAGTGGGCAGGTAGTTTCCTGTGCGATTGGATTTTTGTTCAGCCAACAAAATCCGCCAAGTTCATTCTGGGAAGGTCTGGCATATTTGAAATATCATCTTTTCTACTTATTTAAATAAAAAAGATGTATTTATTGTCTACCAGTTCTATTTATTGTGACAGTTACATCTAAAAAACTGATAGAACCATAAAAATAATGTGATGGTAATATATCATAATAATGCATACAGGCGGATGGTCGGACGCCCTGTACAATATACGCATACCAAATATCAAAACAAAAAAAACCCAATATTTAAATAATTCAATTTGTGACACCCGCCTATTCCTTTTAAACGACACTAATTGCACGGGAATGATCGTGACGTCATACCGCTGCTTTTCAATCGATACGGAGACATGTTATAGGCCGATAATTATTTTTGCCTCGTCAAACGTGTGTTTGTATTTAATCTACCCCGACTTGTATTTGTGCTTAATGTGATTTACATAATACTAATGAACAGAAACAATATTACAAATCATGCCATCGCGTTTGAGTACAACCCGTAAACTTTTTATTCGTCTACCAGAAAATAAAAACCGTTGTTTTTTGTTAACACTATTCTATATCCTATTGCGGTCTCCATAGGCTTCCTCATCTATATAAAATAAAGAACACTCTAATATATATATATATATATATATATATATATATATATATATATATATATATATATATATATATATATATATATAGTTACAAACATCGTTTTTGTGTTTTTTATTTGACAAACCATTTGAATTTTAGAAACTAGAAAACTTTAAGCTGGTTACAATATTATATTGGTTTAAAACTTGTGACTGAATTTTCTATGAACATACCTTTTAGCTTGAACGCCGTGAACCCGAGCAAAAGAAAAACTTTCGGTGTTTTGTAAGTAAGATGTCACCATAAAGATATCTATTAAAGGTAAATTGTCAGATTTCGTTTTCGGTTTCGATCATTTTCAAAACTTTTAAATACTAAACGCAAGATAACAAAACCAAGCTACAAGATCAAGACTAAAATTAAAATTAAAACCACCAAGAGAAACGCGTTGTCGTTCTCTAATGGCTTCTCTATGCTACCCTCCGGTTGGTGCGTAGTTTAACAAGCGAATTGACGTCACAACCGGTCACAGCCAATGACAGCGCGTTTCAAAGGGAATTAAATTTTACCATTTTTAATTGCTTATATTTGTTACATAGAACCATGAAATTATTTTTTTAAGAACTGTGGTTCTTTTAATATTACAAACTCATTTTTGTTCCCTATTTATCTTGTTAACATTTTGGCTATAACTTTTGTTTATAATATATAATATATAATATATATAATATAATATATATAATATAAAACGAAATGGATGGTTATCAGCCAAGTTTTTGTCCTGAATAACATGCTAATAAGATAAGTTATTGTCAGATTTATTATTATTAGATATTAGACTTAAAGAGAAATTAATACAAGCCGGTAACTTATTAATTATAAAAAAATGTTTCCTAGTAAAGGTGTTTTAAGAATGAAGAAATTAAAACAGCCATATTACAGTTCCTTGACGCACATTCGGTTTCTTCTGTTACCAGTTTATCAGGAGGCAGCTATTTCTCGCAGTTCTTTCCACTCAGTTTTGAAGAAATATAATTATACTGCATTTAAATTTCGATAGTAAATAACAATGATAATTTATGAACTAATGAAATTTCGTTCACTACAAGAAAAAGCTATAATTGACAAAATACGCCATACCAAGCCTGTAAATAATACGAGGGCAGCGCTAAATTTTCTCGGCCTGAATATAAAAGAAAAAAAGTATTATTTTTCAATATAATCCGCCCTAACTTCAATACTCTTATTACATCTCTTTATTAACAACTCAATCCTTTTAAAAAAATATTCTTTTGGTTTGTCTGCAAAATGAGCTAAAACAGCCTCTTTTAACGCAACTTCGTCGTTAAACCGCCGTCCTTTTTCAAATAGCCAAACAAATAATAGTCGCTGGGGGCCATATCTGGACTATAGGGAGGATGATCTATCTGTTGGAACCCACACTTTAAAATGGCAGTTTTTTCAACACCAGCAGTATGGACAGGTGCATTGTCGTGCAAAAGACGCACGCCTCTGGTTAGTTTTCCTCCACGTTTCACACGTACGCAGTCGCGCAATTTATGCAATAATGTTGCGTAATATTTACCATTGACAGTGGTATTAGTTTCTTTAATAGCTATCAAAAGAATTCCTTCACAATCCCAAAAGACTGTGGCCATCACCTTTTTTGTTGACTGGCAGACTCTGATCTTTCTAGGAGGTGCTTCACCCTTACGACGCCACTCCATTGATTCTTTTTTCGATAGAGGGTCATAATAGAAGAACCGTAGTTTCATCTCCTGTCACAATAGTTTCTATCACAGGCTTCGGTTCCGACCCACAGAGTTCCAAAAAAGACCGCGCACACTAGACACGGCATTGTTTTTGAATAGCCGAAAGATTTTTGGGAACCCATCGTGCACCAACCTTATGCATACCTAAATGATCATGCAGGATTCGACGGACACTTGTATCAGAAAGCTTAGTATTTTCTGAGATTTCCTTGACCTTTAAACGTCGATCACTCAATACCACCTCTTCCACACACCACTGCTCGACCAGTCCTTGAATTATCTTCAAGGGACTCCTGTCCCATTCGAGAACGTTTTGCTCATTCTTTCACTACAGAATACGAAGGAGAACTTTGGCCGTACACACCATTCAGCCTTTATTTAATAATTTTAGGTGCTAACCCTTCTTTTGTCAAAAACTATATGACTGCTCTATACTCAATTTGCGTTATTTGCGACATTTTTTCGGACACGTCTTGTTTAAAATGCTGTCAATAAAAAACTATTTGACGCAAGACTTCAATTTTTTTTTCGCAGCTTACTAAGATATATATTTAAAAGAAGGCAAAGTTTTATTGTGATACTGGAGCTGCATCTATGTCAGGCGGGGAAATTTTGGCGCTAACCTCGCACATGGAGTAAAAACCTGAGGATAGCAGTAGCTTAATGTTTAGTGTGGTGTTATTGACACACATATATTGAGGTGATGATCATTACTCAGAAATATATGAACGCAATTAAGCAAAGCACAAAAGTAATACCAAGATGTTGCGCATACTCGCAAAGCACCAGGATCTGAAATTTCCTTTTTAAACATGGAATATCTATAACTGTTGGTGGGTTGACACATCAAAAAGCGTTCTTATCTTTCATTTGTTAGAATCTAGATACAAAATATCTGTGGAATCAAATATTGAGTATGTTTTATGATTGTAATCAGAATAACGTGTTCTACTATAGTAATAGTAAAACAATATACATTTTTTTTACATATTTTATAATGTTATTTTCTCTTTATCTTTGTTAACATTGCACAGCTTTTCGCCAAAACTCCGGGGTCACTATCGCTTTATCTAAAACCATTACGAAAAAAAAATTTATCTGCAAAGTAATTTTCAAAATTCTCTTTCATCCCAAAACCGGATTATCACGCCCACGCTTTCACATTTAAAACAATGAATGTTTCTCTCACTGATAAGGAAGAATTATTACAACGTTTTTCATCGAAATGAATATCGATGATTTACTCGCCATTTTATTACTGTTGACACTATATTATATTAACAGCACATACTAAAATTTTT